ACATCGGAGATCTGGGGCTGGGGTCAGTTCACACGCGTCACTTTAGTGATTTAATGCAGAAAACAGGGAAATATGTTGATTTTAACATGCTTCTTTTTTTTTTTTTACCTTAGTTTTGATTTTGCCAATGCCAATATCAATGATGAGTTCCTCAATAAGATGAACCCTCACCATGTTCCTGATGTGGTAAGACTCATCGCTACAACTCGTATGCATGTAAATGATGTGTAGGGCCTGTGCAAATACAGTGGCCCCAAGAAGTGTTTAGACACTCAAACAATTCTGCATGCCCTAGGATTAGATACAAATATGCAAAGGAACACTGCATAAGCTTTTGTCTAAACTCACTTTCAGAGGCAGTTTTGCAGTGCTTTTTTTAATTAATGTTTTGTTTTTAATACGTCCGCTACTGTTTAAAATGTTGGGGTCAGAAATTATTACTTTGAAGTAGCAAGGATGCATTTCATTGATCAAAAGTGAGAGTAAAGACATTTTAAATTGTTACCAAAAAAATTTCAAATTTTCAAAAAGCTTCAAATGCTCTTTTCTATGCATCAAAAAAAATTCTGAATAAAATGTAGAAGATTAGAGTAATGGTGCTGAAAATTCAGCTTTGCCATCACAGGAAAAAAAATACAATGTTACAATAGACAACACCTTATTTTAAATTGTAACAATATTTCAGAAGAGAAGAGACTTCTTTCAAAAACATTTAAAAAATCTTATATCTCATCAATATTTTAATGATAGTGAGTCAGTCACTCAATCTGTATAAACTGAAAAATATAAAAAAACAAAAACATCATACTTGATATGTGAAGATGACATCTACTTGTGTCAGAATTTGTCAGAACTGCGCTTTTGTTGAAAGCGACTTGCACTGCATTCAGCATACAAATCAATTCTTGTTTTTTCTGGAAATCAAACCCATGACTGTGACATTGCTAGCTACAGGAAGATGTTGATCTTGAATAATGATATTAATAATAATAACATGCTGCTGGTGTTCAGGTGCTGATAAAGAAGAGTTACGACCGCATGAAGCGGGTGAAGAACCGAGTGTGGAAGCTGAGGGAGCTGGACCGAGAGAGAGACGCTACAGACACCGATGATGAGAGGTGAGGAGATCTGAGGCTGTGCTCACATTTACCCCTCAAATTCCCTTTATTATAATGCAAAGAAAAAATTAATAAATCATAGCTGTATTTGTTGAATGCTAATCTGAAAAAAAAAATACAAAAAGCTCTTTTTACTACAACAGATAAAAATTGCAGAGAGGAGAATTTATTTGGAATTAATGAGAAAAATGACAATTACGAAACCATGAGAACTTGGAAGCATTACAGTAATGAGGATGAGACTTGTCATAAAAAATGGTCTAATGTAAAGAGCTGTAATGGTCCTAAAATAAGCTTCATTTTCTTTATTCAAGTTTTTTTTTTCCTTCATGATTTCTGGGTGAAATACAACAGACACACTTACATGAAATGTACTTTGTTCAGATATAGTGTGGATAAACGTATGAAGAATAAGGAACAAAATGACTTTGAATGTCTACAGCATTAGTTTTCCCCATTTTTGGTGATAGTCGCATTATAATTTTGTCTAGTGATGTCAAAAGTACCGGTGTTTCTGTCGTGAGCTGATACTAAAATTGTAAATGTGTAGCAATACCATTTTTCTGCTGTACTTGCAGTACTAAAATGAGCTTCATTTTCTTTATTCAAGTTTTTTTTTTCCTTCATGATTTCTGGGTGAAATACAACAGACACGCTTACATGAAATGTACTGTGTTCAGATATAGTGTGGATAAACGTATGAAGAATAAGGAACAAAATGACTTTGAATGTCTACAGCATTAGTTTTCCCCATTTTTGGTGATAGTCGCATTATAATTTTGTCTAGTGATGTCAAAAGTACCGGTGTTTCTGTCGTGAGCTGATACTAAAATTGTAAATGTGTAGCAATACCATTTTTCTGCTGTACTTGCAGTACAGAAACCATGCTAACTTAATTAAAGACTTTATTTTAATATATATATATATATATATATATTAGTGCTGTCATACGATTAATCGCATCCAAAATAAAAGTTTTTGTTTACATAATATATATGTGTGTACTGTGTATATTTATTATGTATATATAAATAGACACACATGCATGTATATATT